CAAACACCACAGGGGAGGAGTCAAAGCCATAGTTAGTTTCACGTTTCGTTAAGTTGGCGGGATAATAGCTCCTGTTCCGAGCTTCCGTAGAATTAATTACCCAAACATTTTGGCACATTAGTGTGTTTCAAACATTACATAATACATTCGTCGGATAAACAGACGAATTAAATGCATTATTTTCATAGTGATGAACAGGGAGTCAAAGATTTCCTCTGCAGGGTCGGCTACTTCAAATCGAAGCTCTGAGCTTTTCATAAGGATTTCGGGAAAACTGACATGACTTACTATATCGTGCGCGCCTGATGCAACAATAAAAGAAGAGTACAAGCAAGGTGAGACACTCCCTTTTAATGCAATTTTAGTCTAAACCGTCGCGACTGAACACAAGGTGCTGGAGTGCTCCTGTTTCATTTGCTCGTGATTTGTTGGGGCTCAATACCTGCGTCTTCTACCGATAATTTTCTGCTATTTTTTCTGCTCGTAATTCACTGCCACTAAACAAATACCACCAGATCGCACCCACCTCACACCGTTCCAGCATAAATGCCAACCCTCGCAGAATCACTTCAGCAGAAATATAATTTTCCTGGACAAAGATCTCTTTATTCTTCGTAGTCGATATGCCTGTGACCTGGTAACAAAGTAGAACATAAATTGGGAGCATATTCCTCACGCATGACCATTTGCCGTCAACGCGCCCGGAAACTCCGAGAGTAAATTCCGAAACTTTCCACAATGTCCACCCACAACAAGCTTTGGGAAGGCCCAATCCCTTTAGAAGTCGTGCTCGAGGAATGTTAAGTGCGCTCGTGGAGTGGAAGTTAAGATGAATACCGCTTGCTTCAAGCAGGGAGGCACGATTGGTTTTGTTGATCTGATGTGTGTTGAGGCATATCTGATGTTTGGATAAGGGGACCACGCCCAGTAACAGGAAGTGGTGTTAGTGTCTTTCCCTATATTTAATGCGTATATTTTTAGTGATGTTTCGGTCACGAACTTTGATAACACACCTGTAGTATAACTTAATGGCAGAGGCTACTGTTTTCTACGTTTCCGCATTTTTACCTGGGCTCGCGTGTGAAATGCAACACTGACTATACGGCGATCAGAACTTAAAATAAAACGAGGCGCCGATCGCACCAACATGGCCGTACAACTGAGCTAACAGCTATATCCCACTGCATGTTTTACCGGTATACAATATTTATGCTTCTTAAAGCCTTAACTACACTAGCGTAGATGAGCCCGTGTACTTAATGATGATTTGAAGATATGAAGAAAAATATATCATGACAAATGACGGTTAGATCGTCACGTGAGGTCCAATGACAGCTCAGCGCCGGAGGCCTGCGGCATCCCCACGTGGGGTTAGAGCTGCCCAGGCTTCCCAGATGGACGGAAGCACGCACCTGCAGTGTGATGCAATGATGCAAATGTGATGCAAATGACGTGTTGCCCCCAGCCGTGAACAAACACTAGACGGCTGCATGGGACACGTCCAACCGGTCGGTCTCGCTGAACGATACAGAGACGAGCGCTGCGGTGGCTGACCCGCTCGGTGACCGGGCCACGGTGGCTGACCCGCTCAGTGACCGGGCCACGGTGGCTGACCCGCTCAGTGACCGGGCCACGGTGGCTGACCGGTTCGGTGACCGGGCCACGGTGGCTGACCCGCTCGGTGACCGGGCCACGGTGGCTGACCCTCTCGGTGACCGGGCCACGGTGGCTGACCCGCTCGGTGACCGGACCCCGTTGGTTGATTATCCACGCCGACGTCAGCGGTCACCGCCTGGCGAACCTCTCACCCCACCAGCGAGAATCCGCTCCATGCCCGCCACCGGGCCGCTGTCGGCACCCGTTCCCTCCAGCGATGCTCGGTGACGATGGCAGCGACGCATTGCACCTCGCTTGCAGCTATGCACAGACAGGGCTGTGCATGCCGCATGGGCAGCAGCTTCAGACTGAGCGTCCCGCCCTTCGCCGTGCCGGCTCCGGCCGCTCCGCGCTGGACGATACGGTGCAGCGGTTCGGGGTCCACACACGCGGCCGCGCTGGCTGGCCGGAGGCGGGGCCGGTCCGGGCCGACCCGGCCCCGCTGCTGCCGAGGTCAGCGGGACCGTGTCCCCGAGCGGCTCGGCTCCGTCGTACGTGCCCCGCCCGTGACGCCTCCCCTCCCCCTCCCCTCCGCTCGTGCACGGCGCGCGCCGCTCGGTTCGTCCCAGGTGTGTAATGGGGCGGGAGGGGTCGCCCGCTCCCGCCCGCCTGTTGTGCATTGCGACCAGCAGCGTCATCGTGCTTTCCGCCTGGGTTTAATGCTAGCGTCCCGGGTGTTTGTTTATTCCAGTCACAGCAGGCGGACAAGAAACAAGAGTTCTTTTGCGGATCTGGAATGGGAAGTCATTTGTTTTGAGGGAAGCCCGAGCTCTCATTACAGCACAGTGAGCGGTCACGGGAGCTAAGTCGGTAATTATGTGGGAGATGGGATGTGATGAATGCGGGTGCCTACCTTTGAAAGCGTCCTGTTCGTCTCTGCCAGCATTCTGCATGTAGGCCATGCCTGCCACATTTTGTCCTTCCGAGGGTTACATATGAGCGTTGGTCGGTGTGGAGCTTGGTACGGCCTTTGGCACCACACAATGGCGTGCTGCGTGCGGTACGTCATCCGAACTCTCTCGCGAGTGACGGGTGACGGTCGGTGTGGAGCTGGCCTTTGGCACCACACAATGGCGTGCTGCGTGCGCCACGTCATCCGAACTCTCTCGCGGGTGACGGGTGACGGCTCACAGAGGATCCTTTGCATATCACTCCGTGAGATGTGTAAGATGATCCATTTATCTATATGACCATATACCCCAAATAGATAGCTGCTTCGTTTGACTGCAATGTGCCTAGCACCAGATTTCATAGTACTAAATCATGCATAACCCCCTCACGTACGCATTTTATTGCAGCTTAGGCGCGGCTGCATTTTTATTGTTACAGTGTTTTGCCGCTGGCACAGAAAATGTTCTTTGGACTACGCAAGCATATTCCCAGGCTCATGCTTTCTGGAAATAATAAATGGATGATGTGCTTTATGAATTCGGCGAGTCCGACCCCAGAGAACCGATGGGGCGAAGCAGACAGCGAGCTGACACGGCAGCCCGCGGTCGCAGCCAGCACTCGGCGCCTGGTGACCCATCGGTGACGTCATCGGAGGGTGCTGGACAATGACGCGCGCTGCGGTAGCTGGGCGCCGTGATCTCACCGGGCTGACGTCAGTGATGACGTCAGCAGCCTGGTGGGGAGAACCGTGCGGCGGCGGCGCGTGGCCGTGGGTGCGGTGCACGCGCTCAGCAGCGGCGCCGCACCCCCGCTCCTCGCCCCTGGACACCCGGAGACGCGGCGAGGTCGGCCGGCGCCCACTCGTGGCTCGTTAGTCGGTCCGGGTCTCAGGGTCAGGCGGAGCACGCATGGCACCGGCGGATGCGAAGGGGAGGAGTATGACATCGGTGGTTTCGGACGGAGAGGGGCTGCAGGGGCCCGACGGCAGGGCGCCACGCATGAAACCGGCGGATGTGACCTCTCGGGGCGGAGAGGGGCTGCAGGGGTCCGACGACAGCGTGTCACGCATGGCACCGGCGGATGTGGCAGCGGCCCGACGACTGGGCGTTTAATGTCAGCTCAACGGAGCTGTTATTTTCTGGGCCGCTGTACTGCACAGGTCATATGCACTTCATGGTCACCAGGATTGCGTGTTGCTATTGATTAGTTTCCTTGAGCGCCATATTTTCCGGTGATTGGCGTAGTTGCGAAGCTGTGTAGCTGCACCACCAAAACGGGAGGACGTAACCGCAACACCAATGCGGGAGCATGTAGCTGCACCGCCGATGCGGGAGCAGTTAGCTGCACCACCGATACGGGAGCAGGCAGCTGCACCACTGATGCACGAGCGGGTAGCTGCGCCACTGATACGGGAGCACGTAGCTGCACCACCGAAACGGGAGCACGTAGCTGCACCACCGATACGGAAGCGGGAAGCTGCACCACTGATGCGGGAGCGGGTAGCGTGCCGGTGGTGCATCTATGTTCTCCCATACCGTTGATCCAGCGTCATGATGGGCTACCGCGGTTGTGCGTCTGGCCGCCGACCGCTCCCGTCGGTGTCTGTTGTGTGGCGGCGCCAATGTACGCGCCGCTGTGGTGTGCCCCGCCCGACGCTCCTGCACGTGCTGGGTCAGCTGGGTCGGCAGCACGACCTCCCAGGACAGTCTGTTTAACGTCGCCCTGTCCTGCAACGATTGCCGGCCGGGTTCGATATTGTCGCATCGCCACGCCCCGCCCACGTTGCCTCAGGGCCCACCTGAATAATACAACCCGTTCACGTCTTTATCCCGGCGGCAGCCCCGACTGAATAAAACATCTTCAAGAAACGAGAGGACACGGCACGCGGCCCGTGTTAGGACAGCGGAGGCGGGGAGATGGGGGGGGGGGGGGGGGGGGGCACAACTCAAGGCCAACGTGCCGCTGAAATAACCAGCTAGGCTGGATATCCGATATTCCAACACCCTCGTGATAGCGTATGCCAGTCACGAAGAGCGACAGAAGGGCACGTCATATCGATCCTTTGTCCTCGTCTGTCAGCCCGTCCCTGAACGTGCTGGACGTGACTTTCCCCTGCGGACGTCGCTGCTGACGCTGTCTTTGTTGCTCCGCCCCTCACGGCTGCTGTGGTATCAGCGTCCCGAACAATCGTTGGCTGGTAGCCCAATCTCCGTGTTCGCAGAGATGCTGCACCTTTCTGGCGCGGCAGGGTTTTGTGGTCTGACTCATGTCCCTCAGCCCGGTTCGACGATCCCTCCCTCTTTTTCCGGCCTCTAAACTAAATGTCGGTTTGACTTCAGTCCTTGCGCTCAGTTTTCAGTATCAGTCTGTCAGTTCATCGATACCGTCACCATCTCGCGAGTGACCTCCACTGCCGGCGGCCGACATCTGACCCTGACCTCCTTGCGCCGCAGGATTATGACCTCGAACAGAAGATCGATGTGGAGATCAAGATCCGAGAGGGCTCGTCACGCCTGCTGGCCGCCTGCAAACACCCGCAGCAGTCGCTGGAGGCGGCCAAGACGCTGCTCACCTCCAACGAGCGCATGGCCAGCTACCTGACGGAGCTGCAGTGCCGGAGGGACGCGGCACATCCTATCAAGCGGTGCGTGGCCTGCCCCCCCCCCCCCCCATCGCCCCAGGGACCGCGGTTAGCCACGTGCCGGCGGCGGTCACAGACCCACCCACCTCCGACCCGAGTGAACTGTTTTACATTGGGGTTAGCCCAACATGCGGTGACCGTTGTTTGTGAGCGTTTGATCTGCTCTTTACTGATAATGATCCATGCACGTTTACAAAGGCGATACCTTGTCCTATGTCAGCGGTGGGGGGGGGGGGGGAGAGAATTCTTGCTCTTTAGCTGTGTTGTGAACGGGTGTTGGCTAAATCCACCCTGTCATCTTCATTCGAGATGTCTCGGTTTCCTCTTCGTCTTTTCGAAGCCCCTCTTGTTGATATGCAGCTCACGCTGCCGATTCGGCAATGACGGTACCTCTCGTCTTAACGACGTACGGGGAATCGAATCCCGTACGCCTGGGAAACCAGAGGTACGGGGTTCGATTCCCCACGGTGCTCAACCTTCCTGCCATGGTGAGAAGCAGGCAACACCATGTATCCCCAGCAGCTGAGTGCGTCGGGGAAAGTCTTAATGACGACGTCGACGACGTCATCGGCTGGGCGTACGCGTAACCCCACCATAACTCAGCGTTCAGAAGTGTGAGACCTGACCTGTACTCGTCGCGGTTTGGCCGGGCCCTGGTGGGGACAGATCCCTCCTCTGTTCGGGGCCGGCATGCCGCTGGGTGACGTTCAGGTGCCATCGTCGATGTCAAGGTCCTAGTACGCCTGCACTGGGCGGTGCATGCCGGGCCCGATCAGGTGCGGGACGCTGGAGAGGCCGGCTGGTCGGTGACCGCGGTCGTGGCCCAGCCCTGATGTAAACTCTGCTTTTGGAGCTCGGAGTCTTTTGGAGTTTAGAGCTGTTTACTTGAACTCGTCGGGATAATGTTACACAATGTCACGGAAGGTCTTGTCCCCGGGACTGTAAACCATGCTGTCAACGCGGGGGAAATAACCATGTTTTTGGCTCTAGTATCAGAACGGCGCTGGGCTGCAGGATAAGCTGTCTAACTTGGGTCGCCACCGGACTCTTCTGAAGTCATGTTGCTCTCTCGTTTCTTATCTTTCGATCTGGCGTCCAGTGCAGCTCATGTTCAGTTGCCTTCAAACGGTCTGCGTTCATGCAGGTAAAAATACCTTCACCTTTCTTGCAAAGACAGACTGTATTATGAACGTGTTACTTTGCGACCACGCCAACAGTGAGCTAGCGCAGGATAAGAGCGCCTAAGGTGACTGGCTCAATTGTAACCAATCTCACGTCACATCTTCGCAATGTCACGCCACCGAGTGACGGTAACAGCCGATTGTGTATTTCTGCAATGCAATCAGTTATGCCGTTGCCCGTGTACAAATGGGAGCTAGGAATTAACCTCCTTATCGGTTGGAACGGACAAATTCAAATCTGAATGCGGCGGAGTTAATTTTGAACGTGACCACAATAGTGCACCGATTATATGGCGATTTTTAACACGCGTTCGGGTGCGGGGGTCAAATTGCCCCCTCCCCCCAAGGTTTTTCCAGAATGGTTTCCGAACGGCGCGGTGTAGCCGCGCCAAATTTTGTATACTGTAGACAATTGAATAACGGATAGTTTGGCGTGCATTTTTTATGTACCTTGTGAGGTCGCTGACCTATGGCAGGTCAAAGTCAGGCCATGGTTTCAGCTAAGGCAATTTCTATGGGATCGTCCAATATGATACAACAACGGAATGTTTGACGAAGCCATACATCTCTGAGATACTTTCTTTGGCACCACACATATTGAATGAGGAAATTAAGTAGACATAAGGTCAGATATAAGGGTCGGATCAAGGTCAAAACCAACCTAATTTATAACTCGAGGGATTGCTGTATGATATAGTTTTTGGTGCTCATTTCGAATTTATTGACTGCATGAACCGCATTATACATCTTCCATTGAATTTTTAGAGGTTAGAACAGGTCATTGACCGAAAATGACCCGGGTCGACAGTTTGTTTTAGGAACATACTGCCTAGCGTAATCTTTGTCGCTTATCCAAATGCAAAACTCAGAACAGTCTTGTATGATTCTGGTCACTATGACCTTGAAAAGGTCAAGCGAGTTCACTGACCTCAAAAGAGCTTGTGACCTTTTGCTTAGAAACAGTTGCCTAGGTTCTGAGGGCACTTTGGAGACCAACCTGGAATTTTACCTTGTTTGACCTTATTTGACCTGAAGGTCATGACCTAGGAAGCTAAACGCTGACCTAAGTCAGTTCACGTACAGGTCAGCACACCCTGTAAATTTAATGTTTCTAGCTCTTTTAGTTCCCGAGATGTCACGAGGGTCCAATTGACCCCCCACCCAGCGAAGGGTATCTAGCCGGCCATCCGGGCGCGTGCTAAGATCAGAGCTGAGTTTATCGCGGTCATCTTTACCTTGCGCAATCTGCTCTGATTTTGCGCATGTTTTTTTCTCGGATGCGATGCCGCGTGGGAGACGAGACGTGCGAACGTCAATTGGCGGTGTACGCTGAATGAAGCGCATACGGTCCAATTTTGTTCGTCAGAATCCCACCGGACATAACCTGTCTTGAGCCGACATTGGTACCTCATCAGCGCGTTGAATCCGTACATGAATCTTCGAACGCAGTACGACTTCTGGCAATGCCAGGGCGGCGTGTTTGGAGAGAGTTTGTGCCATTACATTGGCAAGAAGTTTCCACAGTGCTGTCTGGTTGTACAATTCTACCCACATTTCCACGCGAAGCATTGACGAGCTAGTCCTAATGCACCGAGAGCTCTTTGCTAATGTTATGTGTGGAACTGTGCGCAGAATCGTCTGACCAAACAGCGCCGCGGACAGTGCAGACATGTTTTCAGTCACGCTCTCTCAATATAACAATGCATCTCCCAACAGGTGATTGGTTCACCGCCATTGCGTTGGTGTGCGCCGGCCGCCGTCTACTTTACGTGTTGTAAACATCATGCAGTGAAATCTTTGCTGGTCCAGCGTGTGATTTCACGCTCAGTGAGTGCATGTCTGCGGCTCACACGGCCAGCGGGCACCCCCGCCCCTGCCCCCGCCCCGGCTCTGCACCGCAACCCATTATAGGGACCGCCTTGAACCTTGCGTCGCGCGTGCTGCCACCTACAACGTTCCAAGGCTGCGTCTGCGGGGCGGCCTGCGCGCAGGAGTGCGTCCGGGGCACGGGTGAATGCAGCACGCCCCGCCTCGGGCGGTCACGTGCCGCGCGACCGGCGCAGCCCGCCGATCCCGGCCAGTTGAGATGATTGCAGACCTCAATATGTCAGTGCAGAGTGGCGATTTAGACCGATTGGCTGGAGGCTGAGGCCGTGGCTGTTGCTGGCCCGCTCGCCGCTCTTTCTCAACTTGGTCTCGCTGCCGCCGCCGCTTGCGTGCGCGCAGCGCCTGGCTGATGGCTGTCGGTATGACACATGGCTGAACGCTGCCTGTAGGGCGCAGCGTTGTGAGCACGATCAATCGCAGACGGCACGCTGATTGGTCACGGCCCTGACTTCGGTTTAGACATTTCATTGCAACGGTGCATTCACCACAGCACGCATCGAAGTGGAGGCTGACAGTACTCCGCTGCATAACGCCATGCCGTCCAGAGTCCCCGGAATGAGTTCCATGTCCACTGAAGTCTGGATTTGGTCCTGGAGTCGCTGATAAAGGCCGCGCGACCCCCTGCCGTGACTCAGCTGGCTGCGCGGGCCTGCGAGCGCTCGGGTCGTCGCGGGACTGCCTCTGCTGCATGAAGTACAGTCGTCTCCAGGCAGCGCGGTGCTGGGAGCCGAGGCAGCGAGTTATCACTCATATATGAACCGCCCGGACATAAACACATGGTATTAAACAGGCATAAACATTTCTAGTTGGAACTTTTATCTGCCGCCCGGAGAGACGCATGAACCCTGTCTCCGAGACGTTTTGTAGGCAGCCCCGCCCGCATCCGCACCACTCTGGATCTTGGGTGAAGTATCCTTCAGTGCTGCCCACCGCCACGTCTCCCGAGAGATATTGCGTGCATTGCCCCTAGGCCATCTGCGCACCGGGCAGAGTGAATGAGTGTGTGTGCCAAATAGTTTCCAACGTTATAGCTCCTCCACTTCGCTAAGGATGAAATTGTGACCACGTGAGCCTTTCTAACCCATCCAATTAACAACGGCAAGATTAATAAGTGGCGCTGTAATACCGCCGATATACTGGTTTCTGAAAGGGCTCTTGCCGAAGCAAACGCTTGCGGAGATATTGCATCGTTAGAGATGGACGACTTTCAGGAAGGAAGGTGCCATGCAGATCGAAAGTGAACGCCAGTTCTCTGCGGAGGTGTAGTCCATGCTGGCGAAAGACGTCTTTTTAGGGGCTAATGCCCAGCGCGGTGGGCACTTCCCGGCGTCCTGTCTCCATCTGCTCCCGGGGGAGGGGGGGGGGGGGGGCTGTCACCGGAGACATGTGGACCACCGCCCCTCTGCTGGGGCGCACCCTCCCCTCCCAGCAGGGTGTGAGGGGTATCGGCAGCGCCGCGCGTGCCGGTTCCTACCCTTCTGGGCTGGGGGGGGGGGGGGGGGGAGGGCTGGGGCCATGTGTACCGGCGGCGAGGCGGCCGTGTTTGCGTCCCCGGCGATCCTGCCCGGAAATTGGCGCGACTAATTAGCCTCGGGCCTGTAGGGTGACCCGCGGGGGTAACCTGGCAGACGCGCCAAAGCAGGGCGATATTTCCGGAAACGGGTGAGGCCAGCTGTTGACGAGTGAGATGCTTGAAATAGTTACTGGGTGGTGCGTGGTTTTGTAGGCCGCCGGAGCGATAGGGGCGTGTTGGACGACGTGAAGGGGTGTGTTGGACGACGTGAAGGGGTGTGTTGGACGACGTGAAGGGGTGTGTTGGACGATGTTGAGGGGTCTTTCTTGCGTGAGCCAGAAGCTGGACGCCGGCTGTCGAAAAGAAGGCGCGTGTTATTCCAAGCAAAGCTGTATTTTTTAACTTCGAAACCCGCCCTGCTTCGATGAAGGGTCTTGCGCTTTATTTGTATTGCTGTAATATAAGAACGCTATGCATTCCTGCCCATTACTGAACTACTTTCCATTGCAGTCTTCAATGGCCTCCAGCCTCGGTAAGTACATTTATCTGCCATTACATCGCATCACAAACCAGAACCTACTCGCTGAGCGTGTTTGGCGTTTCTGCCGCCAGGCGGCCGCACCTGGCGCGTCTGTGCGTCTCGGACGTGCGTATGCCACTCATCTGGAAGGAGGAGGACCACTTCCGGAACCGCGGAGACTTCCGGCGCTTCGCTGTCTTCTGCCTGGTGCGCGTCGGCACGGACATCTTCGACACGACGCTGGTGAACCCCGTGGACCGGTCCATGACGGATGTCTGCTTTGACGACGTCTTCGTTTTGTGAGTGCGTGTGGTTCTGTTACCAGACGACCGCTGGTCGAGGCGATCGAGGGTTTGTGTGTGGATGGTCGGACGAGAATGCGCTCCTTTGAGACTGACAGTGGGCCGGAAGCGACCATGGTTTTGACGATGGTGGCTTGGCTTCGCCCACCATAGTGCCATAGTCACCATGGTTGAGTTCGGCCGAAATGGATCAAATGACGAAATTAGTGGACTATGCATGCATGCTCCATCCCTTATCGTACATGGTCCGGTGTATTTCTTACTCTCCATGTTTTATGTGCGTGGTTCGCCCAACTGTGTATGCTTGATGCTCTGCTGCGGCCTTATTTAACGCGCGCTCGGGCGGGGGTGGGAGTCAAATTGATTCCCCGGAAGGTTTTTCCAGAATGGCTTACGAACGGCGCAGCGTAGCCGCGCCAAATTGTGCATAGCTGTAGACAATTGAATAGCGGATCGTTTGGCGTCAAAAATTTAGATGTACCTTGTACGGTCGCTGACGTATGGCAGGTCAAAGTCAGGCCATGGTTTCAGCGAAGGCAATTTCTAGGGAATCCTTCAATCTGATACAACAACGGAGTGTTAGATGAAGCCACACATCTCTGAGATAACTTCCTTATGCACCACAACTATTGAATAAGTAAATTACGTTGTTCTAAGGTCAGGTATGAAGGTCACACCAAGGTCAAAACCAGCCTGTTTTGTTACTCCAGGGCTTTCTGTATGGGATAGTTTCTGGTGCTCATTTCGAATTTATTGATAGCAGGAACCGTATCACACATCTTCCATGCACTTTTTAGATGTCAGAATAGGCAATTGACCTAAAATGACCCCGGTCAACATTTGTTTTAGGAACATACTGTCGTAATATATATAGAGCGTAATATTTGTCGCTTAGCCAAATGCAAAACTCAAAGCAATCTTGTATGACTTTTGTCACCTTGACCTTTCAAAGATCAAACAAGGTCACTGACCTTAAATGAGCGTATGATCTTTTGCTTAGAACCGGTTATCTAGGTTCTGGGTCACTTAAGATACCAACCCGGAATGTGACCATTTTTACCTTATTTAACCCGAAGGTCATGACCTAGGAACCTGAAACTTTGACCTAAGTGAATTCACGTACAGGTCAACACACGCTGTAAATTTGGTGTCTCTAAATTTCTTAGTTCCCGAGATCTCAGAGGGGTCAAATTGACCCCCACCCGAGCGAAGGGTATCTAGCCGGCCACCTGGGCGCGTGTTAGTATGTTGGAACGCCGAGGCTGATTTAAGGCGCCCTCTTCATCCTGTCTGGTTAATGCTTTGAAATGGGTGTGCCTGATTTAATTTTTCCGCCAAAGTCAAAGCCCACACCAAAGTGTGCCACTTGGCGAACCAGTGCCGGCCGGGTGGGCGCACGGGAACTCACACTCTCATTGCAAGACTGTATTTTTCGAAGATGTTCAGTATTTGAAGGCTGACTACCGAGAAATGTAGCGCAAGCGAGCCTGCGCGATTGGCCACGCAGTCGGGCAACCTGCGTGGTTTGTCATGATGACACGACTCTATCACGGGTTTGTTTTTTATGAAGATGGCTGGTGCCAGGGCTGGTAAAATCGAGACAACAAAGTAGCGATAATTGTAATGCTTAATTCCAACGTTGTCTGAATAAAACCTCGTATCAGCGAAACAAACCAGCAATGACCTGAGAAACTTCGCATACGCCTTGGCCTTAGAGGTGAAAAAAATTGAAAGCTTACCCTGAGCCTTTCATAGACTCTCTTACTCGTTCGTTCTCAGACGTTCAGACTCACTCAAACGTTAAACAAATGATGAACACAACTTCATTAGGTGATAAACCATATTTCCGAGACATCTATTGACGCAGCTTTGTACTTTCTTACGTCACTATTTCGCCGAATGAGGCGCCACGCAGAAAACGTGTGGGTGCATTTGTTGGACACATCTACGTACTGCAGCTTTATATATTATCCCCAGAGTGGTGGTGGGCACACGATGTTACAGTTTTCGATTTTCCAGGCTTTCAATTTTTCAATTTTCCACGCTGCGAAGCCCCCACTGTAACTGAAAAAAATCCCGGCACTTTCAATTTTCCAACCATGTTCCGTCGTGATGACCATGTTCCCCATGCCGTGCCGTTCTTGATCACGATATGAGCCTTTGCACCCTTTCACCCCGTGGTCCACGACGGGCCATCGAGACTAGGCCCGTCCTTTAACTCGCGGAATGATGACGTCTTACACCGGCCGCTAGAGTCCCGTCTGTTGCTCACCCGCCCCCTGCATTAGCGGCTTCAATCACACATGATGAAATGCCGATGGCCAGTAAACATGACACGCTATCTGCTGTTGCGGGCGGCAGCTGGACGCGCCGGTGCTGGCGCAGTCCGGCCGGCCGGCTGGACCGGACCGGGCCGGGCCGTCAGCTGACCAGCGGGCCAGTCCGGCGCCCCGCCCCGCCTCCCCCGACGGCCGCTGTTTACGCCATCTGGGACCCGGACCCGGCACCGGCAGCTGTTTTGATATCGCGCCCGCCGGCTGCCGCTTGAGGCTGTTTAATGAACGGCCGGCCGGCCGGGTGTTGACTGACTTGCGGCGGTCCGGCACCACACCGGAGTCGCCCTTGTGCTGGCCTGAGGTCCGGCCTGGCGCGCCTGGACGGTCGGAGGTCGGGGTCAAAGTCCGCCAGTGTCGCGGTGACCAAGCTGTGGTGTGACATCACTCTGGCGCCGAGCCCCTGGAGACGGTTTAACCGCGTTGGCGGCCTTAAGCCTTGGCTCGCGAAAGCTAAAGCAAATGGGACCAAGCCCACGTTGTGTTTGGCCATGCGTCCCGCATGAAAATCGTACAGCGTCTATTAGAGGTGCTTTACAGGCCTTCAAGTGTTGGTAATCTTAGTATCGAGGGACGACAATTTCCACGCGGCGGTATGGATCGTCTGATGCAAGGCAGATGGGAATTCCCCAAATTTTGATATCAGTCTTCATTTATGGTCACTGCCAAATAGCTTATCTCATTCCTTGCACTGGCACTTTATGTCCTGATCACCGTATATCATGTCGAGAGGATGTGCTTATCATGGGATGTCACGGACGTCCGCTGCTGATCTCGACGAATGGCCGCCGTTGGCTGCTGAGTTGATGCGTTAGGTACCATCGCACATTGATAGTGTCGCGAAGGGTTGGAACGAGGCGTACAATGTCTTGCGGATTTTTCTCGTGCAGCGAAGACGGTTAGCTATGAAACTCAACTGCAATATGAACAGCTGTATAAATGAATATGCATGACTTAAAAGCTGCGCGTACAAGAGCATTCCGTATCTACTACAGGTTTTTAAGGAATCTGCTGTTCAAAAAAAAGAAAAAAAGCTATCCATGATTCAAGTTAGACATTTTGTTGCCAGCGGTGTAAAAAGCGTTTGACCCACTGGATAGCCAGGGTGCACGGCGGTTTCGCACGGGCGTGGCAGACCCAGGTGACAGACCCGAAAGAAGGCGTGAAGGAAGGTATGAAGCAGACCAATTTTCAGAAATGTTTTCTTAGATATGCGGTGCGGAGTGCGAGTAAAATGTCAAAACGATAACTTGAAAGAACATTTTGAATGACTGATCTTATCTTGTGTTCGTCGCGCACCTTCTGTAACGTCGGGGCGTCAGCTCCTAACGTCGGTGGGGGGTTCAGCCGAAAAGGCTGTCCTAACTTACCCCCAAAACCTGATTTCTCCCCGGATTTCTGCCACTGAGATTTTCGTCCCCGATGTTAAAGTAAAAACGATTGTTGCATTGTTTCGTAGATTTAAAATGGTTAAATCTTCGCAAGCATCGGCATCGATTTGTGTCATTTTGGGTAGGTCACTTCCCTCCCCCCCCCCTCCAATGTCCGACTTTGCCCTCCTGTTGGTGGGTTTGCGCCCTTAGGTTTTGCAAATTTAGTGTGAAAAGAATATTAAAAGAGAGAGTCCAGAATTTACCAATTTGCAAACAAAGTTTCTAAGAGATGTTTCACAGATCAAACAAACGAAGACTATGAAAATCTAGATTCCTGTCCAGTTAAGTACAGGTGATTAAGCAAGTCACCTTTGGGCCTTCGCCTGGGTTCCGTATTTACTTGATTACTTTCTTTTTTTGCCGTATGCGGCCAGGATTTTAGAACAAATTTATGTCTTGCCTCCTGTCTAGCTTTTTGTGTAATATTATTCAGTGGTGTTTCAACTTTTTCAGCCTGCAATAATTTGTGTTATTTTGCCTCGGCATCTTGTCCATGGCTAGGGTCTTAATAATGAATGATGGTTTAATGAAAAACTGGTCGCATATGATCACCCCAAAAGCGTGACAAATTTACTAGTCGTCTTCATTCGGAAGCGCCCTTGACATGTTCCAACCTCCACTTCGACGTAAATTTTCAATGATGCATTTTCAAAAGCCCGACGGTTGACACTGGCCGACTGAACCGGTGGCGGTAATGGTCCATCAATGGTCACCATCCATAAAATGATTTTCGAATATCTTTGAAGATCGGATTCGAGATGTTCAAAGGCCAAAAACGGGCATTCTAAGCATATATTGGGAGATGTGAATGGTAGAAACTGGTGACAGGACAACGATGGTGACTGTGGTGACAACGATGGTGACATGATGGTAACTGGTGGCATGACAATGCTGGTGACACGCATCGCCTGTCTGCAGTAATCACGTGCCGCCGGACTTCACCTGCTCGCTGGAGGTGTACAGTCATGTGCTACACGAGGACCTGAGCATCGCCAGCACGCCGCGCAAGATCCGGCAGACACTGCACAGCTCCATCAGTCGTACAGTCGGCAAACGACTGGCCGCCAGCCTCAAGGACGAGCTCAGCGTCGAGAACAGGTGCGGGCGACATCGGGCGGGCCGCTGGTGCTGCCATCTGTGAAAGGCTGGCCTGTTGAAAATCAGCATTATTCGTTGCGTTTAGGCGAGCGTAAAATGACGTACGAAGTCGGTGCGCCCAAAACACTTGTATCAGCATCATTATCTTCACCTCTACGACACCGTCATTTATCAGCTGTACTTAGTTGACAAGGGGGCGATGTAGTTAAACGGTGGACATAAAATGCTCCTCGTCTTTCGGTTCGTTTCTTAAAAGGCGCTGCTTCTTCAGGAGTCGTTCGTGGCCTTAAGATGGTTACGGTGCGTCGATAGATTTTTTTTTGCTGACATCAGTCAGCGGTTAGTCGAGTCTGTGAGAAACAGCATCATAATTGTGCTTTTCTCCGCAGCTATCAAATTTTGCATCTGACGTTCGCGTAGTGGGCCCCTACAATAAGTGTCTAGCTACTGTAATATAACCTGCTTTTCGTAGTGCGACCCCTGTGAGGTGATCAGATGTAGGCGGCCGCGATAGTGTAAGCTACTGCCTGCTTGTTCCGCCCGCTGCCGCAAACCTGGCGTTTTTTGAGCACAATGTCGTGAGATTTACGCGGGGTGCGGTCGAAGGCCTTCACTGCGTCCCCGTGCTAATCAAGGCGGTAGTAGCTGAGAGCTGTCCGAAGTCACCCAGCTGCTTTCCCTCACAGCTTCCGCAACTGCTGTGCCTTTCAGTCCAGTTCGTTGGTTTGTGCTCAGGCGTGCAGCGACTACTCTTCGGTGTTATGACGGTCATGTCAAACATCTCGTTGATCCATGCACGAGCCTTGGAAGTGGACTCTGCACTGCGTCTGCGGCACCATTCCGATCACTTTCATAAAGCTCTGGGAGCTAGGGCTTATTAAACAACGTCACACGTTAGGAATGTATCGCCCCGACGATTCTGCTGCTGAGTACAGTTTCATGGACGGTATTCAGTAGCGTGGTGTTCATATCGAATGACAATCAGGCTCATGACAAGGACCGTCCTTTGTAAGCTACGGTCAAATGGCGCCCATTTATTTAGAGCATCGCCGTCCAAACACCATCAGCGCTGCACTTACCGAGATTGGTCGGGCCGGGACAAATCCCCGCCGTCAGCCCCGATCATAGCCTGAGCCCGAGCGGTCCTCTGTGTTTCAGCGGTCCGCAATTCAACTGCATCGCTCGCGCCAACCTGCACGTGCAGCAGGTGGACGAGACGGTGCGGTCGCACGACCTGACCCTGGCAGGTCAGGAGGCCAAGGCCGACCTGCCGCTGTTCGGGCAGATCTGCTGCAGGCTGGCCGCCCAGCCCAACGTACACCTGGCCGACTCGGCCGCCGGCGCCGTCTCATTGCAGGTGAGGCGGTGCTGGATGAGGGAAGTGTCGGATGACGTGTCCGGGCCCAGGTTCGATTCCCGGTTGGCGCTAAGACCTCTGGGCGCATATAAGCACAACAGTCGCCAGCACCCGCCGCACGATGACGTGTACCGCATGGCGTTTAACCTTTCTGGTATGTTTTTAATGCGTACGCTTAGGATACTTCACTACACATGAGTTGTCACTCCTGCATTAAGATGGTAGACACACTTATAGTGTGCGTGTGGTGTCCCTCCATTCGAATTTACAAGTTCCTCGGGGAGCCCCTGTTCTTAGGCTTGAACTCAAATTCACTTACAGGATTTCAATGTCCTTTACTTTCTATATGGGGCACCCGTTTCATATGACAGAGCATTTCTCCACCAAGCCTAGGACGCCGCTCCGCTTGTACTCAGGGGCGCTCCTCTATCCAGCAGGGGAGCGTCTGTCTTCTGGGGCTCAGGGCGTGACCTCATTAAGGATTAAGGGTTAGCGTCTCTGCCTGTGCGTGAAGCCCTCTGTCCATGATTGGGGCGCAGCTTTATGTTGAATATTTACCTAGTCCCTCTACCTGGACATGGAACGCCTCGTACTTGCGCGTAGTGCTGTGGCTCTCCATCGGGACTAGTCCACCCTTCGTTTGGGCTCACAGCCGCCGCTCCACGTTACCGTGTCGTAACAAGTTCACTTCCGTCAGATGAAAGAGTGTTACAATTTCCGGATGGTACAGGTGGGGGGGGGGGGAGGGGGGGGGAGGGCTCTAAAACCCCAACTTACGTGCACCCTAGGGCACACTGTCAGAGATCCCCCTCGGACCTCGGCAGTTTCATTTTTTCACATCCCAGGGGTCGGCTGCTGCGCCAGGGGACATGTCCTGTGCAGCGGTCAGGGCACGTGCTCAGCTGACCGACCGGGCCCGGAGCCCCCTTGGCCGGGGCCCGGAGCCCCCTAGGCCGGGGCTCGGGCGCCCCCTCGGCCAGGGCCTGGGCGCCCCCCTCGGCCGGTGTCCAGGCCGGCAACGCGGCGGCTCCATTACGGCACGGTCGTGCCGTGCGGGGCGCCAATTTGTCAGCGGAAGCGGTCGGCCGAAGCCAGCGCCTGACTGGGGCTGCCACGCTGGACGGCGCGGGGCGGCGTGGCGCGACGAGTCGGGACGGGCCGTGCGCCTGCCGGCTGGCGCTCTTCAGCTCCGAGAGGGGCGGCAGGAGTGCCTCTCGATGGGTGCTGGGCTGTTAGGTTCGAGTACGTGCGCTTGCTGGGGTGTTAGGTTCGAGTACGTGCGCTTGCTGGGGTGTGATTTCAGACGTGTGTCGTCCCGTGCGATGTTGAACGCCTGATGTTTGGTGTGCCATTGTCATTTGCGTGTTTTGCGATAGAGTTTCCATTGTCCCAGGTGTAAGTGCAAATAAACGTGAATCGCTGGGACACTGTCACCATTTGTGGGTCCTCTGTAACAGTTTCCGTTTATTAAAGCCAGGCCCACAGAATGTACTCAGCGCATAGTTGGACACATGTTGCAGCCTCACGTAACACAGGCCGCAAAGGACTACTTTACGGACATGCCCAACAAGGAGCGAACTGATTTGCTGGAAGCAGCACATTTTATGATGTTGTTCTCACTTGGCGGGTCACGACGATATCGTATCAAACGAGTTCCAACCTCACAACATCAATGGCCAGGACAGAAGACGTACGCATGTCATGCAAACAGGATTTATGGCATTGCTAGCAGCAGATCTTCGTCCAGTACCGGCCGGATGTCGTCTTCTCTGTACGGGGGATGCCGCAGCCAACACCGCATGACGCTGACGGCGCCTTTCACAGCGGAGAGGCGCCTGGTGCCCGGCCTGGGCAGCTCTACGAGGCTACCAGCTGAGACTGTGGCCGTCGGCAGAATCTAGTCCAGAGGGCGACGCCGAGCCGCTGCTCACCGTCCCCGTTAATAAGGTAAGCGAGCGACTCCTCGACCCGAGACGGCAGCCCGTGCAGCGGCAACCCACGCGCCCCGGCTGCGGACGGGCAGAAGCCTGCCGCTGCCCTTCGGCACGACGGCTTCCCTGGTTCGTTTATACGGCCGGCGCTGGCGGAGCGGTTCCAGGAGATCCCCGTCAATCCGCCCGGTGACCTGACCTCAGCCGGCTGCTGGGGGTCGTCTGCGATGCTGACCTGTTTTGTGACCTGACGTCTGGCGCGTTCCGCCCCGCCCGCTGCCGTACGGCTAGCCCTGTGGCCGAACGGCCCTGGCCGGCTGCGTTCAGTATGCCGAGCTTCTGGTTAGTCCGCCGGTGCCTAGTGCTCGATGTGGGGAGTTTGGACCACTGCCGGACTCCGAACTATTCGGAGGCAACGACAAGCAGCTGGAGGTCGGAGGTCGCTCACATTATCGTAGGACCACCTCCGTCATGCAAACGACTCAGATGAACGGCTCCTGGCAGTCTGTCTCTGTCGTGTAGTCTACCACCTCAGGACAGTGTGTCGCGGCGGCTCCGGCCCACCGCCTCAGGGCAGTATGTCGCGGCGGCTCCAGCCCACCGCCTCAGGGCAGTCTCCGCGGCGGCTCCGGTCCACCGCCTCCGGGCAGTCTGTTCTCGTCGGCTCCGGCCCGCCGCCTCAGGGCAGTCTGTCCTCGTCAGCTCCGGCCCGCCGCCTCAGGGCAGTCTGTCGATGTCGTGCAATCTACCACCTCAGGACAGTATGTTCGCGGCGGCTCCGGCCCACCGCCTCAGGGCAGTCTGTCCTCGTCAGCTCCGGCCCACCGCCTCAGGGCAGTCTGTCGATGTCGTGTAATCTACCACCTCAGGACAGTATGTTCGCGGCGGCTCCGGCCCACCGCCTCAGGGCAGTCTGTCCTCGTCAGCTCCGATCCACCGCCTCAGGGCAGTCTGTCCTCGTCGGCCCCGGCCCGCCGCCTCGGGGCAGCCTGTCCTCGTCGGCTCCGGCCCTCCGCCTCAGAGGTAGAGCCGGTGCCACTGCGTGGCCACCTCACTGCCAGTCAGCGCCCGGCCCCACTGTGTGGGCTGGCCGGCCGCGTGCGAGAAGAACGGTCCCAGGATGACACGGCCGATGACGAGGTCAGTGCGCATCGGACCGCGCATGACCACGCTCACCACCAGGCTGGCGTCATCAACGAACCCCTGCGGTAGCACGAAGCTAAAGCCAGCGTTGTAGAAGGGGTCGCGCGAGCCGGCCAGCACCGGCGACCGCCGGGTCTTGACTTTCTCGCCGGCGCAGCGCAGCGACGCCTTGACGAACGTGTCGTAGCGCGCGTGCTTCTCGAACGTCTTCTGCGGCAGGTGGTGCACGGCGGGCGAGACGCGCAGACCGCGCGCCTGCATCACCACCACAGAGAGCCGGTCGTCAGCCGGCCGGTACGAGAGCGAGACGAGCAGCCGACCCAGTGGCTCGCTGGGCAGCGAGCGGCGCGCCAGCGGCAGCACGTACCGCTCCGGCGACTCGCTGACGGTGCTCTGCAACGACAGCAGGCCGTGGCCCACCGCCTCGTACGGGCCGCGCCGCGCTGCGTCCATCACCGTCACCCGCAGCGTCTTGTGGCGCAGCTCCTTGGAGCGCAGCGGCAGCGCGTAGTCGATGTTGTAGCGCGGATTGAGCTCGCCCACGGCCACGGGGGCCTTCTTTACCGGTTTGGCGTCCGGCAGCAGAGTCAGCTCGGTGGCAGCGTCGTAGGTGTGGCCGTCGCCGCGCGTCGGCAGGTTGTGCACGGCCTCCAGCTGCACCAGAAGCCGCTTCATGTGCGGGTTGAAGCTGACTGACAACGACACCGTGCCGTACACCTCCTCCACGATGTGCGAGTCGTCGACATCGGCGGCGGCCGCGGCCGCCGACGCCGACGGCGCGTCGTGCGTCAGAGAGCCGGCGCTCTCGTACTGGGCGCGGTCGAAGCCGAGCCGGCTGGCGCGCGCGAACGTGTGCGTCGCGTCCGCGCCGGCGTCCGCCCGGTTCCGGCTCTTGAGGTCGCGCAGCGTGTGCTTGGAGATGTCGGCGATGGTTTGCGCGTGCCGCATTACCTCCGGCTGCAGCTTGCGCGAGAGGAACGTGCGCGGCGCGCCGTCACTACTCGTGACAGTGATGTCGGGCACCGAGCCGAACTCGTTGAGGCTCAGCTGGCTGTCCAGGTCGGGCCGGTAGAGCCGCTCGGCCGGCGGCTGCACGCGGTCCAGCTGGGTCTCGCACGCGCTCAGGCTGGCCACGTCCGGCTCCGAGCGAGACAGCTGGCCCCGCGCCTTGTGCACGGCCGGCGGGTCGCCGCTCTCCAGCAGGTTCTCGTCGGACGCGTACCTGCGACGGCGCCACAGCGTCAGCGGCCGGCCGGCGGCGAAAACAGGAGCGCCGGGGATTCGAACACGCGGGTACCGGTTTTCGAACACGCACGCGTCGGTTGGCTTGGGCCCTTCACGCCGGCGGATTGGTGGGCGTGAAATGTATCGCGAATTGAGTACGTACCTGACGGTTATCAATGGAGGCGAACTGACCGTGGACTTGTGATTTGCCGTGTGACTCGGCCACGCCATGAATGTAGTCAGCCCGCTGGGAAGCTTACCTCTGATGCCTGTCACAGAGCACAAATCATTTTTCGAAAATTGAAGTAGTAAATACCAGTGCCCGTCATGCAGATCACGAAATATTGTGCGATCCGTTATCTAATGTACGATGACCAATCGTTTTCCATGTAGGTGACCAAACACCATACCGCGCGTTTGTAATGCCACAGCCAGACTCTACGCAAACCATCCTTGGCTAAAACAGGGTCTCGAGGCAAGCTCTCGTCCCCAGAACCCACCATTGGCGTGCGCTTTACCGGCGAATCTGGTAAGCCTACTGTGATCCAATTGTTGAAGAATCCAGCACCGTTCGATAATGACCCGAGATGCGATTAGCCCTGGGATCAATACGATACAGCGCGGAGGGCGAGTGCTTCAGTGGGCCTTGTCGGAGATTCTGTGTGAGAGCACCACTCTGGGCATTGCCTCCCATCTGGCCTAGGTCCGGCTAGCGGAGGTCCCAACCGACTAGGTAACCCCAGGAACACGACATAAGGTCAACATTTACCGCTTGCTCTAACAGACCAGGGCAACCTCGGCAATATGGTTTGAGTTTGTGACTCATTATCTCCTCCATTCTTACTGACGACGTCAAGGGTGCAATTTAGATTACCGCTCACCACCTCCCCTAGCCGGCCTGAGGACGCCAAAGGTGCAACTTAAGATATCACCCACCACCTCCCCTAGACGGCGTGGTGACGTCAGGGGCAATCCCTATTTTCCCAGCTGGGCTCCTATCAACAGGGAGATTAGCATCAGGAGACGCTCTGGTACAACTTTTGCCCCACACCCTTAAAACTGCACTACCTGGAGCGTGTGGGGATGTTTCAGGGGCTGTCTGAAGGTCTGAAGTGGGCTGCTAAGCTTTCGACGCGAAAATATGTTTTTGTATGTGCATAGCTCAAGATTCAGCTTTTCCGTAAAGCATAACTTAGTGATTTGTCTCCGATTGTGAAGGACTCCAGAGGGCAAAGTTGTGGGCTCCCAAGGCGTGGTACGGATTTCCTCAGCGCTGCGAAACTTTTTCGTTAAGCATATCTCGGCCAACTTTGCATCATACAGTTATTTTGAAAAATAGCTGGCATCTGCTAGCGACAGGACTGCTTGGATCTCCGATGTCTGAAATAGGCATCCACTTCAAACCACATATTCCTGCCTCGGATTTGAAGAGCCGATCGGTTGGCGCCTGAGGACGGCCAGGGCGGAGCCGGTCGTTATCGGCTTCGTTCGGCGGTGTCCGTGAACCGAGATAGCGCGCCGAACCGCTGCCGGTTGATGACGTAACCTCTGCCGGCTAATGACGGGCGCTCCTGAGCCTTAATCTGAGCAGTTGGACCGCACGATAACCGAGCCGGGCCCGGGCTGCACGGTGTCGTCACGGTTCCTGATGGAGTCTGGCAAACCACTCCCGGCGATGGCGTGGAGGGAACGCATGGCCCGGGAAGGACGCGCCACGCACAAAGATGGGGCGGTCACCTGTCTGCTACGTAGCTGTCCAGTTATCTTTGACGCCTTTATCGTCTTATCTTTGATGCATATGGTATGCACCAATTACGCTCGCAGATTGGACACAGGAGATCTAGTTGCTACAAACATGCCGTTTGAGAGCAGACATTTATTCGACTGGGTGAGGAGCACGAGACTTTTGACGTATGTACGTCGGAGACGGACCCGGTTGGTTATCAAATGCCAGGTACTGTTCTGAGCACCATTATCAGCATGTTCCACCAAACGTATCGGCCTGTATGCATGTATTTTTAAGTATCGCTACACGCACCAGAATTGATGATGTGTTCTCTGTCCCACATACGGTCGGACGGATTCCCGTGAGGCAGCATGCTATGCATACATTTAGCGCAATTCCCTTATGCACGCCTTAAAGCAGCAGACAGATGTACAGGATAGCGATGTACTGCATCGCCCGCCGGCAGTTATCGCGTCATCTCAACTGGCACCAACTGTCCAGAAATGACTTCTTGTAAACCGACATTTAAATTGGCAAAAATAGCCACTGTAGGTGACGCGCCTTAAAGCCACAAATACCTGGCAACGTTTCTCACTGTCGCTTGCGTTTCCCACCGGCTCGGCATCAAGCGCGAGGTCATCCATGTCTCACCTACCAACGTTTGAATCACAGCCGGCACACTTCCCTTCTATGGAGGCCCAGGTGTGACCCGTCGTGACCCCAGATGTTTCTCACTTGTTATCATGCTTGACAGTGACCTGGGGTGTTTCTTACCTGTTCTCATACCGGCCCGGGGCTTACCTGCGGCATGCGTTCCCTGACGTGGGCCGTTTCCGGCCCGTTCCCACCCGTGGCGTTGACATGGGCCGTTTCTCACCTGCCATGGCACTTGACAGTGAGAAGGGTCTTCTCACTTTTGTCGTCCTCCTGCCGAGGACAGCAGAGCTCGCTCAGCTTCTGACATAGCTGGGCGCAAAACGCCATCGCTCGTCACCTGTTGTCCACCTGGGACTCACGGGCATGTCATCACCGCCCCGCTGCAGCCTGAGGTAGTTCCTCCCAGTCCGCCTGCAGGCTGAGGTGGTTCCTCCCAGCTCGACTGGCCGCTTTTGGATACTGCAGTCCACTTCTTTCGCTCCACTGGCCCGCTCCTCGGTGTAGTGGGTCGCCTTCAATCTTCCGGTTGGCTTCTCAATCCACCCTTCTTTCCACCGGTCCACTTCTCGGTCCTGGGATTCTTCTCGCGATCCTGTGGTCCTCCTCTCAGTCCTCACCCAGCCGTCCGATGTGCCTCGTCAGCCGTGCGTCCGCCGCCGGCCGTCTCGCGCGCCGGTGCTGCTGTGCTGCTGTGCTGCTGTGCCGCTGCGGGGTCCGCGGGCTGCCGCGCCGCGCCGCGTCTGCCCGTCGCCGCCGGCCGTCTCCCGCTGCAGGGCGATCGTCGCCGTGTTTATCAGCGGCGTCGGCTGGCCCCGGGGGGAGCGCGCTCCGCCGGCGGGTGTGTGCCGCTCCGCGCCGGTCCCCGACTGCAGCCGGCCGCGACTTTTATCGATCGGTTCGCACTTGTGGCCGACCCGGCAGGCGCGCGCGGCGCGTGACATAACCGACTCGGCCGCGGTGGTGGCCCGGTGGGCTGTCTGGCTGCCAGCTAGTCTGTGTGGTCCTCAGGTCCGCAGCGCCGAGGCGGTTATTCGGGTAGCCGAGGCGGTTCCTGTTCGCGTTTGAGTGCATCGCTGCCGCCGGTGGCCGCTTTTCCTCCTTCCTTTCAGTCTCCTGCTGCCTGGCTGTCCGTCGGATAAACCGTCGGCTTCCTGACAGCTTGGATCGGAAGGACCTGTTGTCCCCGGCCGACCGACTGGCTGGCTGTCCAGCAGTATGGCCGGTGTCTCTCCGACAAATCGTGCCGCTCGTGGCCGCTAACGTTCCTCGTTCCACCGGTGACGGTGCCGACCGTCCCGGCGCCTCCCTGACCGGCCCCCGTCACGAACAGGCCACGTCGGATGCCGCCACAAGCATCATTATTGAGGCCGATGCAAAACGCTCGACGGCAGTGACATCCAGTTAAGCGTCAGATTTGATCAGCTGACTGATCAGACGATGATGCACACATCGCGTATGTATTGTTGACCAAGCAAGTAAGTCCGCAGTTATGGCAAAGCAGAAGCACCGACAGGGGGGGGGAGGGGGGGGGGGCACAGTGGGTAACGTGGTCCCTTTTGCTTGGTTTTCTTGGTTTTCTTTATGGCTTCGATGACTGTTGTGTGTATTCAATTCTTGTCTGTTTAGAGTGTAGGCGTCCCGCATGTCACAGTCAACTTAGACAAGTAGTCCAGGTTCTGAAACAACGAATACAGTAAAAATGACAAAACAATAAATGCACTAAGCACACCAAAGGCTGTCGTGCGTTGATACCGACTCATACACAGTGGCCATAAAAGACACGCTTCATAAGTACAGGTGTACCTAAATAAACCGGACTAGGATAATTTTGTTGGTGGAAAAGACGGATGAGGGGACCGCTGAACAAAACGGTCACAGGCAGTGGGTAGACGCGTGGTCAATCTATCGTAAGATTTTTAACCCCAACAAATGGCTCTTGGCTGCAAAGGCTGCACACGGCTGTAGCATTCCAAATGTGGTCTCGATCAATGAATGTACTTGAGCGTTAAAATCACACACCAAAGCCCTGTGATTGATCCGCTTTTGACGAGGACTCGGCGGAATTTGCTCGCTTCGCGCGTGAAGACTCTGCATCCTGTTTGCTCTCGTGGGCGGCCATTCAGAGCTGGCCACGTGGATGACATTTACGAAGTTCCTATATTACTCTAAGCAAAGACTTCTCCAAGTGCAGCAACTTTAACAACCACCAGAATTGCAGCGACCCGGACGAGGTGCCGTGAAGCGTGCTACTTCGATGGAAGTCTGCGGCCGTGTGCTGAACTAGGACTGTTCCATGACCAGCGGCGCGGGTCGGGTCACGCGCTCCAGCCCAGACCGCTCTGGCGCCAGGTGGTGCGTGACCCGGCGCGCCTGTCGCCTCAGATCGCCGGACACTCGGCGGGATCCGGGACCCCATGACCAGTCCGCCGGGGCCTGGGCACTCGGCCGGATCCGGGCCCCCATGACTCGTCCGCCGGCGCTTGGACACGGCCGGATCTGGGACCCCATGACTCGTCCGCCGGCGCTCGGACACGGCCGGATCCTGGACCCCATGACTCGTCCGCCGGCGCGTGGACACGGCCGGATCCGGGACCCCATGACCCGTCCGCCGGCGCCTGAACGCTCGGCCTCGATGGCGGAAATGCGCCGCGGCTGTCATTAGGACAAATGATATTGGACTTCTGATTAGATAAAGGCGTGCTGTCACAAGCGTGCGACTAATCTGACGTGAATCCTTCGGTGCATTTCCCGGCTGTCTGTTCTGGGTGGTGCGATGTAACTTTTGATGAGGTTGCGGCTGCATCAGGGGTCACTCGCAGGCGAGGGCCGGCCGCGCATCGACACACTATCAATGAAAGGGAACTCTATCACGCGCCGACAGACTGTATCGTGTTCAGCACGTCCCAATTACGCCCCGGGTGTACCACAATTTGGTCATGACATGGATGGGCGCCTATGCTATAATGGACTTGTAATGGACTCCCAAGTCAACGTTTTCTAACGACATCCAACCAATAATGCAGCGAACTGGCCGACAAGTGTCGCTACGAGGCGAGGCGCATCCATGCCTGGCCGAAGTCCAAGGGTTGTCTCAACACTGTGGCGCAGTCGGTGCGATCCCGGCCGGGCTGTGTTGACGGACCACCCAGGACGGCGGTGTCTCGCTCACCGGCGGACCAGAGCCACCCGACACACCTCCCTGCCGGCCAGCCAGCGCGGGAATGTAACGCACGCTGCCTCCCCATCGCTGCTGGGCTCAGGTGCAAAATGGGTGCATATATTCAGGCTTTGTTATATGCAGCGGTGAACGTGCATTTCATCAGTTTCTTGCGCGTTTACTCGATTGTTCGAATGCAATCTTCCGTTGTTTTCGGTAAGTCATAAATCGCTTCGCCTGGTCATCCATATTAGTTGAAAAGAAATGTTTCACATTGAAAAATGTCGAAGCAAGCATCCGACATGATAAACAACCTCACTTAAAACCATTGGTGTACTTTTAAGTGGAAAAGGGTGCTCTAGACGGCACAATTCTTTTTTTACTTAATATGCTCTTTAATGCGTCATCGCTTGTTTACGTCATCGTACCTTATACACCATCGATTTAGAGACAATTGACGGTCATTTTATCTGGAAATGGCGCTCACGAACGTCAGATATGAGCGCCTCAACGACCATATTTTTCTTGGCCTTGATCACCTGATGGCTTATGGAATGGCAGGATTTCAATGACGTTATTATGACGCCATGAATGTCAAGGTGACCTTGAAATACCACCTCGATATACCTTTCCGATTTCACGGACGTGTTGTCAGAGGCTGGAGGGGCTTAGGTTTTAAGAAGGGCAGGGTTGTGAACAGCACTGAAGGGTTTTCAAAGTGGCTATTTCAGTTCAAACCCCCCATATAAATGTGGGGCCCCTTTAAGCTAGCTAACGCTTCAAGAACATTCGTTCCATATTATCAAAGCAATGCGAGACCGTCGGACGAAAAATGGCGAAATGGCGAAACAAGAGACGTGCTGTACGAGACATAATCAAGGGTGAATCATCAGTTAACAGATTATGCATCCGAATATCAGGTCAAATTACAAAACACACGCAAGCACGTGCACACCATCCCTCCAGTCAGTGGCCCTTTTCAAAGCACACTCTGGCTGCGGGAAGCGGAGTACCGCGTAGTCTATAGTGACGCACTGGTTCAAACTTCAACCAGTGCACTTCCGGATAGCTGGCTCTTGCCGTTCGCTTTGCCGATCAGAAACGTTCGTTTGTGCTGACGTCATTGATACCAGTAGAGCTGCCACTTTTAGGACTGCAGGCCCGCAGTTCAGCTGTTTTAGTCCGCATACGAGGGTTAACGCGCGCTGGGATGGTGGTCAAATGGACCCCTAGGGTTTTTCCGGAATGGCTTCAGAACGGCGCGGCGTAGCCGTGCCAAACTTATGCAGACAATTGAATAGCGAATCGTGTGGCATCAAACAATTCGATGTGCCTTGTGAGGTCGCTGATCTACGGCAGGTCAAAGTCAGGCCATGGATTCGGCGGTCAATTTCTAAGGAATCATTCGATATGGCGGAACAACGGAGTGTTAGACACAGCCGCACAAATAATGACCAAATTTTATTGATCTAGGGTCAGGTATGAAGGTCACACCAAGGTCAAAACCAACCTGTTTTGTTACTCTCGGGCTTGCTGTATGAAGTAGTTTCTGGTGCTCATTTCTGATTTGTTGATGGTAGGGGCCGCATCAGACATTTCCATGGACTTCTTAAACGCCAGAATAGGTCACTGAACGAAAATGACCCAGGTCAACATTTTGTTTTTAGGAGCGTACTGGCTAACACGATGTTTGTCGTTTATTTAACTGCAAAACTCAAAACAGTCTTGTGTGATTTTTGTCATCATAACATTCGGAAGGTCAAACAAGGCCACCGGCCTTAAATGACCATGTGACCTTTTGCGTCGAACAGGTATCTAGGTTCTGGGGACACACTGCAGACCAATTTGGAGTTTGACCTTGTTTTATCTTATTTGACCTAAAGGTCATGACCTAGGAACACCGTAGGAACATTTGACGTAAGTGAGTTCACGTACAGGCCAACACGCTCTGTGCATTTGGTGTTTTTAGCTCTCTTAGTTCCAGAGATTTCAGGAGGGGGGGGGGGAGTCAGATTGAATCCTCATGCGAAGGGTGTCCAACCAGCCACCCTGGCGCGTGTTAAAGGGGATGCTCCACATTTCAAGGTATTGAGATAAGCATCGGACATGACGGGAAAAGCTTGCTTGTAACTATTGGTAAGCTTTGAAGGCTCAAAAACGACCCTAAGTAGCGACATTTCAAATAGAAATGCACCCCATTACGTCACCGTTTGATGGCGCCGTGGAATCATTTTGTGACGACAGCAATACCTGGTAGCATCTGGCAGCCAGATCTAAAGAATGCCTCGAAAGCACGAAAGCTGGCGCCAGTCGGCCATTCTCGTCGCGGGTGCTGTGTGGGATGGTGGATCAGTGGATGGCTTTCAGACTTTTCGGCTCGGTACTGGTCGTAAAAAAAACTTTGGTGGACTGTTTGACATACGCAACGCAGCGCTCGCCAACTTTTATGGCAGGTTATTGATATCAAAGCACGATGTGCTGTGAAAACCGTCATATAGTGTCATGAATCTCTTGCCGAAACCTGCCAAGGACTGTTGAAGATGTCAATGGTGTCGACCTGTCCTGACCTGCAGTGCTGTAGTCCTGACATTGATATCATGTGATGTGCACAATAGTTACTTTCGTAATTATTTGTAACTGGAACTGCAATTGCATGCCAAAATAAATAAATGTGGAACATTTCCATCAATTGATAACCAAAGCATAGTTATTTCGGTGGTAGAGATGGTAAGGTTGAGTTATCAAAAATGTTTTTTGTTTGCTTAGGATTATCGCTGTTGGCAGTCCTTTGGCATTGTTAAATCATTTGTTGCCAGTCATTCATAAATTACAAGCTGTTGTCTCATAGACTTGGCATAAAGTAGTTAACCAATGTGGTACATTGTGCGATGGCACGGGTCAACATTGTCGTTGTGGCACTATCTCAGGGCCGCACTCTGGCATACAAAAATTAACAACGATATGACTTCTGCTTTCCCGGAAGTGTCTGAAGTGAACTTCGCCTCGTGTTTTGCCAAAAAAGATCACCGAAAGGGGTATTCACTGTTTTGTCTTAAGCGTTTGAGATATAATGAACACCTGCGAGACATTAAAAACAAAGCAGGAAATACCTCCTTTGATGGCAAAACACGCTCAGGCTGAAATCGAGGAAAGTATGGACGCTATGCCCCTTATCAAGTTCAAAGTCATCTACAGAGCACAAGGCCATCCAGACAGGAAAATGAGTGAACCTATTCTTGTAAAAAAAGCGGCGACCAAATCTTCATGAACAGGACCCATTATGGCCGATTAGGCGAACGTGATATGTGCCTTTATGCGTGATGTGTGCCAGTTTAAGATCATCAACATGCGTAAGTGATACCTGACACATGACGGTGTAACCGACCCCAGTGGTGGTTACACCATGCCGAAGCTTAAATTCGGACATTGTTCCCGGATATCATCAGCCCTGTTGACAGATCAACATTGGCACCGCGTGTGGTTTAGCTCACGAGAGAGGCCGACAAAAACTCTTCTCGACCATGACAGCTGTTTTTCCTTATTTATTGATCCACCGTCCGCTATACGCCCGCGTCGCCCGCTTTGTTGTTGCTGATCCCGGTTGGATCCTTTTCGAATACTTAGGAGGACTGATTAGAAGCCCACGCATATGCTGGAGCCATGCTTCTTGCGTAGTCTTAAACATATCGGCTGAGTTTTGACAAGCTGGGCACCGTGCGTGACGCGGTGTCTGCAGACATTTTGAGCCTGACGAGTCGGTGCATGTACAGACCTGCTCTCGCACAGTGACGCAGGTTCGGCTACAGTGAGACTGGTAGCTCTCTTGCATTGCTTTCCTTTCATACTACAGAGAGGTGCTAGTCTAATCCTTGTTGGAAACGTGGTCAACACCGAGCAATTATGCCACACACTATGAACGAATTAATGGGTAGCATTCCAAGATCAAAATTTAAAGCACCTTCGTAGCAATTAGGAATTTACAAATAAACGTGCAAATCAACAGTAACGTATTGGGATCTGCCGGTGAACGCTGTTCATTCCTGAACCGGTTGTATTATTAACCGACGTCCATAGCTGCTGGGTTATCGGCTTGCTCATCTCTCCCTCTAGTTGTCACGGTGATGATGATTGGCCGCTAGTTGTCACGATGATGATGATTGGTCCGAGCACCATCTGCGCCTCACGCCACGCGTGTCGGGTTTTGAGGTGCGAATGTGATCAGCTCCGCTCACACCCGTGTCCAGTTTGCTTTCTACCTGAGGCTCATGCACCAGCAAGACGCCTTCTGTGGCGTGAGACGAGCGAGATGATAACAGATGTTAGTGTTGCGATCATTTAGTTAACGCCGAGCCGGTCGAATGGAACCTGGCGTTTTTGAGAACTCCACATCATTCCGTCATGGCAATGCCTTGGAATGTTCGTCTTTCATGGAGTTCGCAGACAAAAGATTTTGTAACGTGACGTCCGTGCGCTCACTCGTGGGTCTCCGCGATTCAAAGCTGGCTGAATGTCGACCTGGCCAGCGGCTAGTATGTATTTCGACAGCACAGTAATAGACCCAAAGATAGGTATGGCCCCAGCCAGGCCTGCCTAATTCGGTCAATCCGTTAAGATTCTTTTGCTTGTCATGAAAGTATATTAGCGGCCTGCCATTGCCGATGATTTATTAGTTTTCCTTGCTTTTGGCCAACCCATTACCAGAACGGACATTTTGGTTTGCATTGGTACCAGTAAACCGGGCTGGCATCTACGTAACCTTTCTCGTCTAATCTCCCTCGGTATATTCCGCAGAGGGTTGTACTCGAAGCGGCTTTTAAAAGGGCGATGCTGAGAGCCCCCGGGCCGATCATTGACGGATAGCATTCATGCCTCCACAGTCGGGGCCGTGGGTGTTGCGTTCGCCATGCAGTTGGTCTCACGCCGTCTTCGTGTCGCCGCGTCGATGTTGACGTCCACATCGACGTGAGGACGCCGAAACCTAGGCTCAGTTACAACCGGTGCCGTGTTGCTTCTTCGCTGCGGACAAATTGCACTTTCCATGCTAATCGGATGTCGTAGGCTACGCATGGTTCATATCATAATGTTGCACCTGAATATCGCACCTGACCAAACGACTTGCAAACCCTTCTATAAGGCAGCATATTTGCTAAAGAATGGCTCTTTTATGCAGAAAATGCATGAAGCGATGGTCTGTGGCAGGAAACAGATCAGCTTCCAAAAAACGTGACGGCCGAAACGGGGTGGGCCGTTCAAGTGAAAATCATTCCGCCAGACCTACAACCTGCAAAACTTGGCCTGCGGTTTCCTTCGCTTTGAGGCTTTGGGCTACTGTTCGCCCGTTGTCGGATAAGGCGAAGGTTCAGCACCGCTCGGCGATATCAGTCCGTTTTTGCGCTGTTAGGCTCCACGTTGCTGCAGCGACGCGTTGTCACGGGGCACTAACGTGATAAGTCCTCGCGTCTCGCACGACTGCGATGACCCCAAATTACATTTCGCCTGTGCCGATCGCTTACCCGAAGGTGCGCCTTTTCCGCGGAGAGGAGGGGCAGTGCTGTAGCGGCCAGGCGGGGCGGAGACCGTAGCCTGCCATGACGCGGGGTGAGCTAGCCGTGGCCTGCCATGACGCGGGGTGAGCTAGCCGTGGCTGCCGCTCCCCATAACACTTGTGTATGACATCTTCAGCAATGATGAGGCGCTGGGCCGATCCGTCCGTTACTGGTCTTAACACGGCGGCTCTTACTCGTCCTACGGAGCGAAACACACGTGCGCACCGCACAAGTGCGCTGTACATCGCCGGCTCTAGACCTTTTTGGGGAGATAAGCGCGCCCATATGGTGGCAAAGCCTTTCAGGTAATCCAAACGCCATCTGTGGATTAAACGTTGGAAACTCTGTTGTTCGTTCAACGCACAGCTAACATGCACTCTCGAATAGCCAGCTGCTATGTACGTTCTCTGGAGCGACCGCTGACTCCAGCTAACCGTGGCTGTCGTCTCGCAGGACACGGAGCTGGCGGCGGGCGCCGACGGCGAGCGCCAGCTGACGCTACGGCCGGAGCGGGGCGATCGGCCGGCGGTGGCGCTCCGCCTCAGCTCGGAGGACGAGCTGGCCGTCTGGCGGGACGCCCTGGAGGCCTCCGTCACCGGCAGTCGGCTGTGAGTGGGCCGGGGTGGTGGGCGGGTGCATCGGGAAACACTCCGCCACCCACCGTATTGTGATCTGACATCGCATTGTGGATGCATTCCCGTATTGACGCTCGATATTGCGATGTGTTTGCTGTGATTTACGCAGCTTGTACGTAAACCGAAGTGTCATTTGGTACCATGATAGAGCAGCTGACATCCTGGCCGTCGTGGTTAGGCACTTGCCAGAGTTTCCTCGGGGGGAGAGCTAGCGTCAATTTCGGTCATACAGCAGCCGTTTTCCTGCGAAGCTGCTCAATATCGAGAAGGCCATAGCTCTTGTCTTGAGGACCCATGGCCTCTGTGGCATCCCCTTCGATTCGTCCCTGGCCTGATCACACTGAACTGTCGCTATTAGCCCTTTACGTCTCTGCTGCGAGTGCCTAACTGTCTGCTTGATCCCGGCTGTGTGGTGGCAGGTGGCGCCGCGCCGGCGAGCAGGAGATGACGATGCTGACGCCGTCTGTGCGCCTGTCCGGCCTCGGCCAGCGGCCGCGACTGCGCTCGCTGTACGAGCACGTATCTCTGAAGGACGACTGCGCCTCGCCCGACCTACCACCGCCGCCGCCGCCGCCGCGGCCGCGCGCTCAGAGCTCCTCCGGCATAGCCTCTTTCATTCGCTGGGGATCTCTCCGCAGCAGACGGAAGCTCAACTCCTGAATACCACCGCCAGGTGGCAGCGAATCTGCTGCCATTCGGCATTCAGAGAAGCTAGTGCCGGGGCCGAGTCACAGGGACCATGTAGAGCTTAGCTGAAGTCTGATTTGTAAGAAATGCCCTTCTTTGTTTCTGTCGAGATCCATCGCATTTATCACGCCATCATGACGCCGGATACATCGCCTAGCTGCCGGGAGCCCATGACCTGGAGAGATGTGTCTAGCAGGTGCCTGTGCCCAGTCAGTACCGACAATCAAGTGGTCATGCGCATGCCGTTGTGGGTTTTTTAAGGATCCTTTACATTTACCGTTAGGAAAAGCTGACCAAGCTGTGTGCTGTCTAGTTATTACATACCACCTCAGACATCGCCCTGAGTATAACTGTGCATTCCTTCAGTATGGGGATCAAGGTATGCTACTTAAATAACTACATGTGCTAACAGGTCCAAGTGACTAGGCTGAACGGTAAATAGCCTAGCATTTAAGGGATAAATTCCGGTAATTTTATGGTCCAGTTCCAATGGTTTGGACTAACCGCCAGGACGCACTCCGTGGCGACAGTGGGTCTTGGTTTCAAATCACTCCAGGCAGGCGCGTTCTTCGGGTGCAATGAACCAGTTATCGTTCCTACTCTCTGTAAATAGATTTAATAGACTTTCGGATGCTACTCTTGTTAGCTGATGTTCCCCGCGGCGGTTTTGTGATGACAGCACGGTGCCCCTGCGTTGTCTCGTGGCCAGTGAGTGGTGAGAGTGTCTTAGTGTCTAGCAGACAATAAAGGTTTTTGTTGATGGTTTGGTTTTTTGTTTGTGTGCTTGACTGCGAGAGACCCAAGCCTAGGCATTTTGTCTTCATCCCGGTTGTTTTCTTGCTTTCGTGGTTGTTCGGTGACATGGCGTCATTTGCACAGGGATGCACGTGATTTTTCCGCATCGTAATACTCGGTGCAAAGCATATCTTTTAAAAAAATGTAAATACGCAAATATACCTCCGCCTGCCATTGGTCATACACAGGCGTGTACACCCAATAACAGATGGAACCATGGGATAAACTAATTTATCAGCCAATTTCGTCACGTTGTCACATGGTGCAAAAATAGCATGCAAATCACGTATGGTTTTACGGGGAAGCACCGACGCAAACATTGCAAAATTTGCTCACTCATAAGATCGCCTCCGGGAACTTAAAACAAAAATCTGGAGACAGTCGACACTACATTCCATTTCATCGCGTTAAAAACTTGTTCGTCCCATGGAAGTACAATTCATTTTAACACTTCAACACGGGGAACTGGAACATGAAATAGGACTCGTGCTAGTGGTTCTGACCAGGACTGAGCCACCAAGCATTAACTTAGATCTCTGCTGATTTGGTCCGGTCCCTCAGCGCATCGTGCAAACAGTTAAGGTGCCTCGAAACAGAAGTACTTCTCTCATATTGGTGACGTGCGTAGTTTCTCAGGCCGTGTAGAACTGTCCTTGTTGGAAAGATGAAAACAGGTCTTAAAGGGACGCTGCACGCTCGCTTAGTGTTCGAGCATTAAGCCCGTCTAGTCTACAAGCTTTGTGGATTTGCAAAGCCTGGAGTGCGCGAGAGTTTCGTGAATTTCGGAAGGCTCATTAAGCTTGCTATATAGTACTGTGTGTTCGGCAGACTGCCAACGGCCCGAGGACAGTAAAGGCTCAACTGAACGATTCAGACCGATCCTGGTCGGCGGGTCGCAATGCAACCGCCATTTCTGAGGACAAAGACAGCCCGGCCCGAAGGCGGTACCGATCTCAGAAGGAACCAAATCAATTACGTGCAAATCAAAGGCCCTGTATCTAGGCTGGATAGTAGTTTTAGAACTGAACCATTCCAAAGCCAGGTCTGCGATGTTTAAAGCCGGCGGTGACAGTTTCTTACGCCGTTGGGCAATGTCCTTTTCACACAAAGCACGTTTTACGGCACCGTTAAACCACGCTGGCGGGCACAATCGGGAACCAGTTCATAAAACGCCAGAATTCCGTAGCGGATGATGAAGCCGAGTGAGTCAGGTGGTATGCATGAGCTCATAGCCAGTCACGTGCGAAGCCTGTGCTGCGTCCTGTTGAGTCGAGATCGATGACACCGCACAGCGTCCGACTAGATAATGCTGCCAAATTCAGAAATGGAGTGAAGATCGATGTCAGGTGCTCTGATAACTGGAACGGGCTCAAAGCCGAGGTAGATCGGCGTGCGGGAGGCTGCAGCTTATGCAAGTACCTATTTAAAACACGATCCGCTCTACCTGGCAACAAAATCCACGCGAAATCGGAATGCTGATTTTGACTAAGATCACGTCACCATGCAGCATTTCCCATGCGCGTTCCAGAGAACATTTCTGCCATTCGGATGCGAAGACTGCTTTTAATTACATGCTTGAAGTGAAAGAAGCTATCGCGCTTAATCTAGCGATTCAGCCCTAATTTCTAAACATTTCTCCAAGTGTGCAGGCTTGTCGGGTCATTTTGAAGAGCGTAGGCGTGCCACACAGACACCCTTGCTTGGCTTTTCCCCACCGTTGTAGAGGAGAACCCATCACATAAGAAGCGGTCCGTGTGCGGACACAGGTCCTTTCCCCACGTGCGTTTCGACCATGTAGCTAAGCGGCACGGCTGAGCGCAAGATCCCAACAGCAAAACAGCAAGAAAACGCCTCACGGCCTCTGGAGATAGCGGTTAAACCGAGCCCAGGACTCACGAAGCCGCGCCCTGGTACCGCGGGGGCGGGGATCACACGATGCACCGCCACCGGACTAAACGGCACCCGTCTGACCACCAGCGGCACCCGTCTGACCACCAGCGGCGCCCTCTGACTACCAGCGGCGTCCGTCTGACCGTCAGCGGCGCCCGTTTAACCGCCAGCGGCACCCATCTGACTACCAGCGGCGTCCGTCTGACCACCAGCGGCACCCGTCTGACCACCAGCGGCACCCATCTGACCGCCAGTGTCTCCCGTCTGACAGCCAGCGGCAACCGCCTGACCACCAGCGGCACCCATCTGACCACCAGCGGCACCCGTCTGACCACCAGCGGCACCCAGCTGACAGCCAGCGGCAACCGTCTGACCACCAGCGGCACCCATCTGACCGCCAGTGTCGCCCGTCTGACAGCCAGCGGCACCCGTCTGACCACCAGCGGCACCCATCTGACCGCCAGTGTCGCCCGTCTGACAGCCAGCGGCAACCGTCTGACCACCAGCGGCACCCATCTGACCACCAGCGGCACCCGTCTGACCGCCAGCCGCACCCGTCTCACTGCCAGCGGCGTCCGTCTGACCACCAGCGGCACCCGTCTGACCACCAGCGGCGCCCTCTGACCACCAGCGGCGCCCATCTGACCGTCAGCGGCGCCCGTCTGACCAACAGTGGCTCCCGTCTGACCGCCAGCGGCGCCCAGCTGACCAACAGTGTCACCCGTCTGACCACCAACGGCACCCGTCTGACCGCCAGCGGCGCCCTCTGACCACCAGCGGCGCCCATCTGACCACCAGCGGCGCCCATCTGACCGTCAGCGGCGCCCGTCTGACCACCAGCGGCACCCGTCTGACCACCAGCGGCGCCCATCTGACCACCAGCTGCGCCCATCTGACCGTCAGCGGCGCCCGTCTGACCACCAGCGGCGTCCTCTGACCACCAGCGGCGCCCATCTGACCGTCAGCGGCGCCCGTCTGACCAACAGTGGCTCCCGTCTGACCGCCAGCGGCGCCCGTCTGACCAACAGTGGCGCCCATCTGACCACCAACGGCACCCGTCTGACCGCCAGCGGCGCCCTCTGACCACCAGCGGCGCCCATCTGACCACCAGCGGCGCCCATCTGACCGTCAGCGGCGCCCGTCTGACCACCAGCGGCGCCCGTCTGACCACCAGCGGCACCCGTCTGACCACCAGCGGCGCCCATCTGACCGTCAGCGGCGCCCGTCTGACCACCAGCGGCACCCGTCTGACCACCTGCGGCGCCCGTCTGACCACCAGCGTCGCCAGTCTGACCGCCAGCGGCGCCCGTCTGACCGCCGGCGTCGCCCCTTCCACCTTCGCCGTGCATGCTTGCGCCGGTGCACGGCGCCAACACACCCCTCTCACCGCTCCCCGACGGGCGCATCCGCCGTAGGTGTTGAGAGACGTCGCTAACCGGCGCCGCCGTGGTCGATCGCGCGGTAAGTCGTGGACTGTGGGCACCCAGCAGCGGTCTGAACAGCATCCTTTCATACGTCTGTAACGATTTGTGTGCGGGCCGATCGCAATTGGCGTTACTACTTCTAATTCACGGTCTATTCTTCCAGAAGCTCATATTCACTTCGCATGTAAATTGCTTCAAGGCATCAGTTATCCTCGTGGACAACATTTTGTTCTTCAAGTTGAAATGAAACAGATGACGACAATTTGCTGCTGCTAAGTTGGTGTTTTTGGTGGTGCTTTTCAGCTGGTGTTTGCTGATGTTTGCTGGGGGTTTTCTTCACCGAGAAAAATGAGCAACAATTACGTCTGATAGCACAGTTGGCTAGCCATCCTTAAAGTGCCCAGCGCGCTCTACAGGGCGAACATTGTTTCATGTAGAAGGCAGCTTTTCAGTGATCAGAAACAAATTCCGGGTCAAACTTTGCGTCTCTTTGGAATACATTTCATCCATTCACAAAACGCTTTTGAGGCACTTGTTTATATGAACCGAATCACCCCAAAATTGCTCAAACACATAAAGTGGCAAAACCGATAGATTGTGGGAATCTTGCCGTCCGCCAAAAACACTTCGCGCAGCCAGAGGGCTTCAATTCATTTTCTGCCATCGTGTATTGTCCTGTTCCTTTAAGGTCTTTTCATACTCCATCGGCCTTTGTCCGGGAACCTTTTCTGTTCTGTTTCGCTTCCTTCTATTTGTAATGATCTCATCTTCTGTCAAAATTACGTACGGACTGAGCTTGTCAAGCACGAGGAGTCGTGATTGCAAGAAATATTTCATTCAATCTGCAGAGGTCACGTCAAAGTTCCTACGCAGGCCCGAAGGCGCTTAAGGCCAGACTTCCTCCTCGATTTCAGGCTCCATTTGGCCGACTTTTCAATAACTCTTCGACTTGACCATATTGGATCCCCATTGTTGATTGTTGCGCTATTCCAAATCACCGAGAGGCCTTTCATGCCTGTCAGCCGCGCTACACTAGTGGGTTCGAATCCAGCTCCAGCTGCGGGCTCGCGCACGGCGTGCACCAGTCCGATGCTGAGGGCGAAGGGAGCGTCTGGACAGGCTCGCCCCGGGCGTATCCAGTGACGGCGGGTCAGGTCAGGGTCGAGGGGGGGGGGGGCAGAGAGCACCTGTGCCGGTCCCACGGTAGCCCGCAGGACCGGGCCTTGCTGGACGCGCCGGCTTGTTCACGTCGCAGGTGAGATAGAGAGCATAAAGAGTGGGTCACATCGTGTATGTTCCCCATGTTCCCCATCCTCGTCTTATAGACTTCATGTCTATAAGACCAGAGTAACGATTATTTTGAGCGTATTGTTTGCGTACGGTCATGCACCGCCTTCAAGGCAGTGCCAATGACTTTTTCCGAGTGGGGAGGAGGGGGTAAACAGTTCTAAGGGTCTCCCAGACAGCTTTGGCGGATCCTATCCCATCTCATGTATTTAAAATCTCCGCAGAGTTTCGCCCACTTTTTAAAAGGAGTTCATAACTGGGCGCAGAAGCCCGTCCTTGGCTTGGAGGGATCGGTGATCATTCCAACCTCTGGTCTCCTTTTGGGCTTGCACGTTACGTTTCGGCAAAGCCAAGTTCCCGCAGAAGC